CTTACCCCCCGAAATTTGTACTCGTATAGAAAGTTCAGTTACGAATATTTTCGTTCTTTCGTTGCTATTCTATATCTCGGTATTGCAGCTACCACTCGTAACTATATGTTCTGCGGTAACTGTGAAAAATTGTGAAAGGCACGGAAGGGAGCTGAGAGAAAAAGTAATATCACGTTTGATTTCTTGACTCGTTTTCTCTAGCAAACGCGTAGAACGGTCAAAAGAGATTCAAATGTTTCCCGTCACCTCGTAATTGGTATCGCCAAATGAAATTCATGTATCCTTTTTACGAGTCACAAGTTTATAGTACATCGTACCTTGTTCGTGATCATCGACTAAAAGTCGAATATTTATCAAATCAATTTACGCTGTACTGTATGAAGAATTTTTATTATTATTATTACGCGAATGAAATAAAATTTGATCATTGTTTAAATGATTAGTATTCGTATAATATATACATAATATATAGTCTATGATCTATATTATATTATGTATATAATATATATACATTTTATATGAGTATATATTATGAAAATATTCCTGACGATCTATTTATATTTGATTATCTTAATGAATCTCTCTGGTTTGATAATGTTTATAGCGGACTATGTACGATGTACTTTACGTACTGTACCAATCGCAAAGAATAGTTTCACGCCTGTGCAACAAAATTTAAGCATATTCAACGAAAAATCAATCAAAGTATGAAATATGAACTTTAGAGAGGCAGATGCTCACGAACGCGTACCGTTTACTGTCATGAGGCATCAACAGTTACATCCGTATTCTATTCACGAATAGAAGCACGTGGGCTATTTATGCTCCCCCCTGAGCACGTTTATTCGCGAGATGTTCGTACGAGAATATTTTTGTGACTGTTCCACACGATGAGCTCTTAGATTTAATTTGTTAACGACTCGTCAATCAACGAGAGACACAAGTACGTTGCAAAAGAAATTAAATTGCGCCACGCAATTAATAAAATTGTACACGCGGTTAACGGTTTCTTCGATACCTGTGAGAACGGCATATGAAATTAGTAGGATATTAGGTAATGCGTTATTATTCGGATCTTCAACGGTAAAAGCAGGGGATGCATAATGGAGATTTATATTTTGTTACAGGAAGACAACACACGTTTTACATTCGCTGTGATCGTCGTAGAATCGACGCTATATACTGCCGCGAGAACACAAAGAGAAATAAAAAGATTAATAAGAATTATATGTCGCAACGATAGAAGAAAATGTAAAAAAATAAAAAAAAAAGTTTAAAAATAGAAGAAAAAACTGTATAAAAAGCAAATAGATTTTCGGCGAGCACAGCTCCGATGATAGACCAATAGAAACAACGATACCTCAAGAAGACTCAATAGTTAATTATCTCTTTAATGGATTAACTTGTACAGAATCGATATTCTTTTACAGTGACTAATTACGCATACCCGCATACAGTTGCATACACCCAATATACACAGATGCACTAAAAGAAGAGAGCAAAAGAATCGTGATCTGACATCTGCAATTAAACGAAAAAGCTAACCAACTTTCTGTTCCGCGTTTCGTTAACTGTGTCTCCGTGCTCGCAATTTGCACTCCGTGTGTACGAAAGCGATGAGAAATATGCGTTTCCAGCCAGAACAGAAATGAAAATACAAAAAAAAAAAAAATGTTAATCCTTTCCA